CATGAGGAAAAGAATAACAACATATAAGAGAATTTAGTATATGATAAATTGTGGGGAAAGGGAGAAATTATCCAATAAATGGTGTTGGATTGGCTGGAAAGAATTAAAAAGAAACTTGAACCTCCATCCTTACTCCTTATTTTAAAATAAAATCTAAATGGATCAGTTTCAAATGGAAGAAGTAAAACCATTAAGTTCTAAAAGAACATGTGGGTTAATTATCTTGCAGTGGGGAAGGTATTGGTGGAGGGGGACCCACAGAAATCATTAAATAAGTTGGATAAGTTTTATTTCATTAGATATTAAAATCTTCTGGAAAAAAAAAAAATCTTCTGTAAAGATGCTCAGTTTGGGGGCTTCCCTGGTGGTCCAGTGGGTAGGACTCCATGCTCCCAATGCCAGGGGCCTAGGTTCAATTCCTAGTTAGGGAACTGGATTCTGTGTGCCACAGCTGGGACCTAGCACAGCCAAAAGAAATATAAAATTTAAAAATTCAGCTTTACCTGTATTTAAAGCAACTACATTAAAACAGACACTGTATTCTTCTATATTGGCAGAAGTTAAAGGCTGAGCCCCAGGGTTGGTACAGTTGCAGGAAAATGGGTTCTGTTAGTAACTGTTTTTAAGTACAATTGACCCTTGAAAAAGTTGGCTGTCAGGAGCACTGACCCTCCTTGCAGTCAAAAAATCTCTATTATAGTTTACAGTCGACCTCTCATACCTGCAATTCTGCCATATTCACGGAGTCAACCAAATGCAGATGATGTAATACTGCAGTATTCGTTACTGAAAAAAAAAATTCTGCACATAAGTAGACCTGCACATTTCAAACCTGTGTTGCTAAGGTCAGCTGCTTTATTTGGGAAGCATTTTGGTAATAGTCAAAATTTCAAATGCATGTACCTTTTGATGTAGCAGTCTCTCCTGAGACTTATGTACAAGGATGTTCATAGCAGCATCATTTATTATTAACTGGAAATAGTAGAATATGTCTCCCGATAAGGAGTTAATAAATTAGGATACAGACAAGTGAATATTCCATAGCCACTGAAAACAGTGTCTGTTTCATTTTTAGTCACTGGGGAGGAGGACTAGAATTGAATAAGAAAGATGTACACAAATATGTACCTCTCCTTCACTGATGCAGAATGTAAGAATGATGCAAAATATAGGTTGGAAGAATTGTATATCAAACACCCATATACTTCCTAATTAAATTTATAAACACTTATAGAAACAACTGTAACTTCAGTTAAAAACAGTGTTGTGTAACACTGTTAGACACCTATCACAATCATTTGGTTGGTCACTATGGCCATCTATTGATCCATTTTCTTTACATTTCACCCCTAACATGTCAGTGTGTGCATGTAATTAATTACAGCCTAGTATTTATGTGGCTTTCCTGGTGGCTCAGATGGTAAAGAATCTGCCTGCAATGCAGAAGACCCAGGTTCAGTCCTTGGGTTGGGAAGATCCTCTGGAGAAGGGAATGGCAACCCACTCCAGTGTTCTTGCCTAGAAAATTCCACGGACAGAGGAGCCTGGCAGGTTATAGTCCATGGGGTCGCAAAGAGTCGGACATGGTTGAGCAACTAATACTTATGTGTTTTTTTTCTTAAAGTAGATAATTTTTTGTCAAGGGGAAGGTTTCCAGAAATCTTTTCCTGCTTGAAAGAGTTAAGTGTGGGAGCATAAGGTGGATGATAGCTCTGAACACAGTCAGGATCACAAGTTGTTCAAACCCAGATGGAGGAAGCCAGGGGAGTCGCGTCACCCCTCTGAGCCGTTGTCCTCTGTAAAAGCGGGCTGGGTGGCTGTGAGAACTGAGGAAGGTGAGAAGCACCCAGCATAAAGCGTTCAGGGCTCTCCTCGGAGTTAGTGGCCCTGAGGGAACAGCTGACAGCCCAGTCTTTCCCCGCAGAGCTCTCTGCCATCTGCAGCTGAAGCAGTTCCAGGAGGCGGTGAAGGACTGCACAGAAGCCCTCAGGCTAGACGGAAAGAACGTGAAGGCGTTCTACCGCCGGGCTCAAGCCTACAAGGCTCTCAAGGTAAAGAGATCCTGTCCAGAGGCACCAAAGAGCCACAGCCAATCGTGCCCTTGGTAGCACTTCCAGAGCATGGTCCAGGTGAGGGGGGGCCCTGCCACGTCCCTCCTCGTCCAGGGGCCCCAGGTGCTCCTCACAGGCCTCCAGCCTGGGGTGCAGAAAGCCAGCTCGGCAGCGGTCCCCACCCCCGCCTGGTCTCCTGGGGCCCGGGCTCCGTCCCACAGCCTCTCTCTCCTCTCAGGACTGCAGGTCCCACAGCCTCTGTCTCCTCTCAGGACTGCAGGTCCCACAGCCTCTGTCTCCTCCAGGACTGCAGGTCCCACAGCCTCTCTGTCATCTCAGGACCGCAGGTCCCACAGCCTCTCTGTCATCTCAGGACCGCAGGTCCCACAGCCTCTGTCTCCTCTCAGGACTGCAGGTCCCACAGCCTCTGTCTCCTCCAGGACCGCAGGTCCCACAGCCTCTGTCTCCTCTCAGGACCGCAGGTCCCACAGCCTCTGTCTCCTCTCAGGGCCGCAGGTCCCACAGCCTCTGTCTCCTCTCAGGGCCGCAGGTCCCACAGCCTCTGTCTCCTCTCAGGACTGTAGGTTCCACAGCCTCTTTCTCCTCTCAGGACTGCAGATCCTCACAGCCTCTCTCCTCTCAGGACTAAAGGTCCCCGCAGCCTCTCTCCTTTCAGGACTGCAGGTCCTCACAAGCTGTCTCTCCTCTCAGGACTTCAGATCCAGCTTTGCAGACATCGACAGCCTCCTGGAGATAGAGCCTAAGAACGGCCCTGCGCGGAAGTTGCGGCAGGAGGTTAACCGGAGCTTAAACTAAAATCCCAGAAGGGCAGCAGGACACCTGTCTGCCTGAGCACCTTCTTCTTTGCCTGCTCCCGGGACCTGGCGGGCCCCCGAGTGGGCTCCGAAGCCGCCGCGTCTGCCCCTCAGAGACATGATGGCCTCCCACCCCTCAGGAGGCTCCACCCGTTCACGTTAAGCTCAGTGTAGTCAGAAAGCAGACGTTTTGTTGGGAAAGTCTCCCCCTGTTCTGCACACCGTGTGGCGACAGGTGCTCGGCCTCGTCTCCGCCCAGCATGCTCCAGCCCCAGTGCTGCTGAACCTTCAGCGTCACCAGGTCCTCTCACCCCTGTCCATCTGGGCGCTCAGAAAGTGGACAGTCCCATGGGACACAGGCCGGTGGGGGGAGGAGGACTGGAAACCCCGGCCCGCCTACACCCACGGCAGCCAGTTGAGCTGGTTCTCCAAGGCTGCCGACCCCTCCCTGTCCTTGGCACAGCGCTCCGTGTTCTGAGCCCCAGTGCCTTTTGGCCGAGCCTCCTATGACAGGGATTCAGAACCTGTCCCCTGGCCGGCGTTTGTGGCTCTGTGCTGCTGTCGCCCACATAAAGATACCTAAGTTCTTTCAAGAGCCCAGAGGTGTGGCTGCTGCTCCTGAGGGCGGAATAGGGAGAAACCTCCTTGAAATTTGTGTCCTTCCCTTCCCAGCAGGGACTTGCCTTTTGACTCCCACAGTGGCCCCCCCTAGGCTTCTTAGTTCTTTGTAATACATTGAAGTTAATTTGAACTGAACAGACTGACTTTTGTTGAATTACAAGTTTAAGCTACTGCATTAACGTCATCTACATGAATGTCTGTTGTACTTTCATTTATGGTTCTTCAGCTTTGGTTCATTTTGGAACTTTGCAATAATAAAAAACTGGTTATGGCGCATTCATCCTTTCCTTGATCAAATTTACTGGCATGTGTCTGCATGGGCCAGGCCCTACTCATAGTGCTGGGGAAACAGCAGTGAATGAACTGACAGGGTCCCTGCACTCAGAAAGCTGACAGTCCCATCGGACAGAGTGAAACTGCAGCGGCTTTAGTGTTTTAAAGGAGCAGTCACACTCCCCCCCTGTGGAGAAAAAGGGGTTCCCGAGGAAGTCGTTTGAATTGCGTTCTAACATGGGGGTGGGGAGGGTCAGTGGGTGAAGGGGGGAGGGAAGAGCCGCCCAGGCAGACGAACGGCATTGCTGAAGGCCTTGGCTGGGAGGACCGGCCGGCAGTGCCTCTCAGCCTCACAAAGCGTGGTGTGGGTGAGGCTGGGAGCGCCTGAGGACCAGCCTGAACGAAGGGCTCCGCTCCACCACCTGTCTTCCCGGGCTTGGCTTGTCTTCCGTTAAATCATTTCTGTCTTAATGGAGACATCGCGGCTCCATAAAGCTGAGCAGACTGGGTCTTTACTGCTTGCTCCCCCATCACGCTCACTGCTGGGCAATACTCAGCTTTTAGCAGGAGGGTTCCGTCCTCCAAGGGCAGAGTCTCCGAGCAACCAGACCTCCAGGCTGAAGCGGATTTGAGTCACAGTAACTGTGGCCCTGGCACCATTTTAAATTGGGCAGCTGCACCCCCCTTTTCTCCCTGCCTCTTAAGCAGGCCTGACTCTTCCCCTAATTATATTAGGCAGGTTCAGTGGTAACATCTAGTCACAGCTGACTTTTCCTTCTTGAGGTCCTCATATAAGGCAAGTATCTTGATTTACTCATGAAAATGTTCGAGGTACAGCAGCATAAATCAAACACCTGGGAGGGTATCCTGAGGCCTCTCTACAGGAGTGGAGTTGCCACGCATCCCCTTAACCAGCCAGCCCAGAGAAAAGCAGCGGTTGGTGCTTCCAGAGTGTTCGAGCGTGCAGGCTGCTCGAGCCAGGCGTCCAGAAGTCCCAGGCACGTCCCACGTGTGGCGCTTCAGTGCCGTGTGATAACTGTTTAGCCCCCTGATGCACCGCCGGCGGGCGGCCCCGCTCAGTCACTGGCAGCTCAGCTCTGTCGGGCGCATGGCTGACAGGCCCTCTGTGTACATTACCACACGTCTAGGCTCCTATTCCTTACAGCCAAAGCCCCCACCAAGGCGACCCTCTGCCCTGCCCACCTCCCTCTGACACAAGGCCTCCTGAGAGACAAGGTGGAGTTTGCAGCACTTTTAATACATAAAGCAACAGGTTAGAGGTTGGCACGGTGACCAGCCTTCATTCCACAAAAAGTTCAAGTAAGATACACCCCAGTCGGGAAGTCACGGCTTACAGGGCCTTAGAGACAAGAGCAGGAAACGCTGTTTCTCAGCCAAGGGAGTGAGGATTCCGTTTTCTGGGGATGAAAAGATAAGATGCTTCTAAAACTAGCACGGCAGTCTAAGTAAGGATGCAGGCTAGCCCAAGCACCACCAGGCGGGCCCCACAGCAAGGCCAGCCTGTTCTAAGCTAGGCCCCCACGGTGGGCAGCCAGTGAGAGAACCACCCCTCCACTGGGCACCCGAGTCCACGCCAGTTCCCATTACACAGTCTATCCTTGCCTCTCATCCTCACCGCTTCCCCGAACGCCTCCAAGATAAGCCAGTGACACTACAGCCTTCTCAGGGAGTCTGAATGTCCCTGCCCTGTTCCTATAGCTTCTGGGCTCAGCCCACCCTTCTCCCGCCCGCACCCACCCACCTGGCCTCAGCGCAGGTTCACTCCTCGCATGTGCTCCGTGGCCTGGTGGGCCTGCAGCACTGCCAGAGCCTCTTTGACCTGTGGGGTACATGGGGGGGGGGCAGTGCAGCAGCCCCAGCAGGGTCCTGAGACGGCCTCTCCTCCCCCGCCTCCCCAGCACTGCTGCAGAACTGTCATCTGACTGCTCACCAGCTCCCACGACAGAAACCCCCGAAGGCCACCTTCTACCCTAGCCAGACAGCGGGGGGAATCCTTCCCCTAGGCTGGGTTAGAACACAGCTCCCTGTAACACAGTCCTGCCTGCGGAGCTGCAGAGAATGGGAGGGGCTGAAGCCGCAGGCCCTTTACCAGGCTCTCCCCCACCCCCACCCCCAGCAGGTGTTAGCAAGGAAACCCCCCCCTCAGTCCCAGCTGCAGACGCCTGGCTCTGGAACCCTCCTCCACCCTCAGGCCTCCCCGCTGCCCCCAGGCTCCAGCACACCTTGGCGTTGAGAGACTCTGGGGACTCCAGCATGAGCAGCAGCTCCGAGTTGTCAATCTCCAGCAGCATGCCAGTGATCTTGCCGGCCAAGTGGGCGTGGACATTGTAGATAAGGGGGAAGAGACGCTCACCTGTGCAGAACAGTCCCTGAGGCTTAGGCATGCACCTGGTGGCTAGCCCGGCATCCTGGGGGCAGGGGGCGGGAGGGGGGCGGTGTATATCGTGGAACCCAACAGAGAGGCATTTCAGGTTTGGGTCCCAGAGTGGCTCCCTCCAGGTATGTCACTGAACCTTCTTAGGAGCCTCTTCCCCAAGTGTAAGGTGAGCACACCAAGCCCCACCTTGGAGGCTGGTTTGAAGAATCCAATTTGACATTATACGTTACAGCACATGGGCGCTCTGGCACAGCCTTGATTGCAGTGTAGACTACTCTTGCTGGACTTCCCTTGCACTCCAGTGGTTAAGACTCTGTGCTTCCAATGCAGGGGGCGTGGGTTCGATCCCTGCTCGGAGCACTAAGATCTCACATGCCTTGTGGTATGGCGGGGAAAAAAACCAAACTACTCTTGTTCATTGGGCAAGAAGTCATTTTTGTTCATTGGGCAAGAAGTCATTTGAAGGATCACATGGAATTCTAGACAGGATACAATAATGTGGAACTTGATTTTTCGGAAGGACAATGGAGCCAACACAAGATAAATTCACGTTCCACCAGCGGGCACTTCCAGGGACGGGGCCTCGTGCTGGTGGCGATGTGTGGAGGGAGCAGCCAGGACAGGGTGCTAGGTGTCATTGGTGGGGGCAGGAGGGCTTCTCCCATGAGGAGAGTGAAGAAGTTTCCAGGGCACTGCCCACAGAGCCTTCCCCCTCCATGAAGCCCATTTGGAGTTTTTCTTTGAGGGGTGGGTAGGAAAGTGACAGAAGCCCCAGTGAGCTGAGTAATCAATGGGGTGAAGGCAGTGGGGGCCTTCAGAGAAGAGCCTGGAGGTCTTGGTGAAGACAGAGTCCAGGGACCATGGCGAGCTCGTTCATTTCACTCTTTTAATTAATCCTAACCCTAACCCTTCAGCAGGGCCTGCCAGACGCCAGGAGGGAGATGCATGCACAGAAGCTCAGGTGTGGGGGACACCGTTTATTTCCCCAGTGCATGTTTATGGCCTGCCTCCCAGCAGTGGGCACTGGGTGACTGGTGAAACGTGGTCACAGCCTCTTCCCATCAGCACCCACCCTACAGGCCATTTGCTGGCAGAAACCCGAGACCCTACTCTCCTGCTCCTCCTCCTACCCCCTCGAGCTCCCCCCAGCCATCTACCCACATCTGGGGTTTCTCCCAGCCTGAGTCAAAGTCACTGAACAGCAAAGCTGGAAGAAATCTCGGACTGCCTGGTCTGACCAGTGTTTTAAGATGAACAGGAGCCTGGGAAGTAAAGGTGCTTTGGACAAGGTCACCCAGCAGGCAGGTCAGCTTAAGGCTGGGGACCTGGTCTCCACATCTGACCTCCAGCTGGTGAGTCAGCTGGTGGCGCACCCCCCTCCTGCTCCGGGGTAGGAGAACCAGTCACTCACCAATCATCTGCTTCTGTTCATGCAACGGTGCTGCGGCCAGCATGGACGCAGTCAGGGGCTCCTGTCCGGGGACACGCACGGCAGGCTCCTGGACCTGCACATTGTACGGGGACACATCCCTTAACCACACAGGCGGGCAAAGCTACCCCTAGCAGCTGAGCACAGGCCTCCAGGAAGTCTCTGGAAGAGGGGGAACAGCAGGCAAGATATGGACAACTGGGGACAATTGGGGAGGGGGGGGGGGGGGGGGGCGGGCAGAATCCCTAACAACGGCACAGTGAACTAGAAGACAACGTGACATTCTAATACAGACCTGTTCCATGGTGCTAGGAGCCAGTGCATGTGGCCAAGTGAAGCTACATATTACTGACCACCTGGTGCCAAACAAGCACTTCTTAATCAGGGAGCTTTATGGCCGCATCCCCAGCATGATTTCTGACCCTTTCTTGGTGGGCTTTCCCTGGTAAAGAATCTGCCTGCAATGTGGGAGACCTGGGTTTGATCTGTGGGTCAGGAGGATCCCCTGGAGAAAAGAAGGGCAACCCACTCTAGTATTCTTGCCTGGAGAATTCCATGGACAGAGAACTTTGGGGGATATAGTCCATGTCACTGGAAAGAGTCAGACTCAACTTTCACTTTGCACATCTTGGTAACTTTAAAATCATTTTGCTCTCTCTAAAGCCAACTTTTGTTCATTCTGCAGGAAATAGTTTGAAGTATATACACAGAAATTCTAGACAGGATATGAAAATGCTGACTTGGAGACTTTTTTAGGGGGCAGGAAGATAAACACAGTCTTTTAATTACAGAAGATGTTTTCAGTTCCGTTCTGCAGACTGATCACATTCTCACTGCTCACCACTTAAGTACTAAGGAAACCCAAGTTAATTCTGGTAATAAGGCAAAGGGGCTTGTGATGAAAAAACAAAACGTGATCCTAGCCTTTTTTCCCTTTCTGTTAGTAAGGGTGGGGTGCAGAGGCGGGGGACAGGGGAGGGCAGAATATCTCTTCTGATGGTACACATTAATAAATGAAACTTTACAAGCCAAGAAAAGAAAGAAAACCAAGGCCCAGAGACCAGCAACACCTTAGAGAAGGTTCTGAGCCAGGCAGCCCTGGGGCCCAAACTAAGACGGCAGCTGGGCCAGCCTTACCCGATCAGTGCAGTGTGCTGGCGTGGAATATTTGTGCGTCAGGAGAGGCCTGCTAGGGGTACAGCATCCCGTCACACCGGGTCCTGTGGTCTGGGTACCAATGTTGGCTGGAAGAAACAAGTAGGGATGATAAGGCCCAACAGCAACTCAAAAGCCTAACAGCTCAAAACCAGCATTCACACCGAATTCCCTAAACGGCGTAAAGGGTCAACACACAGATGTGCAAACACCTGCCAGGGGAAGGAACAGATGCTTGCCTTATAGCCAGCACCTATGCCCCTGTTCACAGCTGCCGAAGTACTTAAGATTCAGATCTGGAGCTGAGCCCCGGCAGGTATGACTGCGTTCATTCACATAACACAGCAGGAATACTGTTTTCACCCGGATTTTAGGGAAGAGGATACCAGGGTCAGCAGCAAGCAAGATCACAGTGAGTCAGCCCCAGAACGAGGTCTGTAGGACCCTGGAGCCCACACGGACTGCCACACTGCACAGCGGTGCCAGCACCGCCCTTCAAGAGGGCCAGCGGCAGGGTCACCTCGGAGGCCGGTTCTGACTGCCCACCAGCAGCAACCCCAGCAGCAAGACCTTGCGCTTCCCTCCCCCCCCCCCGACCCTGCTCTCCATTCGGTTCCTCTTGGCCCTGACCACACTCACCCACTCGCGGGGTGTGGGGCACCAGGTGTGGCACGTGGGTGGAGACCTGCCTGGAGCTTCCAACAGGGGCCAAGGGGCGCCGAGACATGGCTGCTGGCCGGACCACCGAGGCCCTGGGCGAGTAAGCGGCTTGTGGCACAGGGAACACGGAGAAAGTTTAGCTGAGTGGAACAATGTGAGGGACACACTGCACCCTGACAGTTCCAAGGTAAGAAAGGGGGTGGCAAGGTGAACATGAAAGGCAGAGAGAGGAGGGAGGGAATTCACCGGAGACCCAGACCTCCAGGGGAGGGGGATGGAAATCTGCAATTACAAAGCCAACTTCTGTCTACCCAGGACCCCAAGAGGCATAGGTATCAGGACCACACACCCTGGCCCCCCAAAGTCAGCTTCAGGTCAGGGTGAACTTCCCTCTGAAGAGAAGGACCATCCTCAACAGTACTGCCAATGGAGTTTCATTTTCTCAGCTTTGCAGGAACTTTCACCACCACCAATCAGGAGAGCCTTGGGAGCTCACTGAAGGTAACAGCTCATGTGTGTGTGTCTTCTACACGCACACAGCCCTGTCCTTGGTGTTTTACATGCATCTCACTCAGGCTCATGTTCACAAGAGGAAACCGAGGCTCAGAGGGGTGACGTCACCCACCCAAATGACTAGGAAGCAGCAGGGCCAGGCTTGACCCCCAAGTCCACATCTTTAACACATTCTGCAACCCCCCCGGGGGGTGGGGTGGGTGAGGGGCTGGGTCACTCACATGACAGTCTGGGTGGCTGGGCCGTCCACCTGGGGGCAGGCTGGATGGGTGGGCCAGAGCCATAGTACGGAGCCTGGGCTGGAGGCTGTGTAGGAGAGAAAGACCTAGAGTGAAGGGGGGTGGCAGAATCGGGGGGCACAGGGGGAGGGGATGAGCAACTGCATCCCTCAAGGACACCACTGCAGGAATGCCAGTCTCCCCTCCAGGAGACTGGTCAGCAAATACCCACAAAGTTGGGGTGAAGGCTCCTGCTGCCCATCTTAGGAGGTCTGTTAGCCCTGGGCCCTTCAAGGCAAGATCTCAGGCTCAATCCTTGCTCTGCTGATCAGCTGTACTAGCCCACTGACCTAGATAAAATGGTGACGCACCCCACTGTCCTCATGTCAGCTCAAGTAACTGCTAAGGGGAAGGAATGATCCCCACCCTCTGAGCCATTCATCTTCCTACCCCTCCAGGTCACACAGGCTCCCTCCCCACACCAGACCCCTCAGGACACCAACATCCAGGAGAGATGTTAGCAGACAGCCCACAGAAATGACCATCTCAGTTGGGCGACTCTGCAAATCCTGCCAGTTTGGGAAAGTCACGGTGCCTGCTGGCACATTACCGTAGAAGAAGGTACACAGTGAAGAAATCTAGGCTTGTCTGGCTTAATGCAATCTTTTCCCAATGTACTGGGTTGGCCAAAAAGTTTGTTCAGGTTTTTCCATCACAGCTCATGGATGTTGAAGCTGAAACTCCAATACTTTGGTCACCTGATGCGAAGAGCTGACTCATTGGAAAAGACCCTGATGCTGGGAAAGATTGAGGGCAAGAGGAGAAGGGGACGACAGAGGGTGAGATGGTTGGATGGCATCATCGACTCGATGGACATGGGTTTGGGTGGACTCCGGGAGTTGGTGATAGACAGGGAGGCCTGGCATGCTGTGTGGATCATGGGGTCGCAAAGAGTCAGTTCAGACACGACTGAGGACTGAACTCAAGGAAAAACGCGAATGAACTTTTTGGCCAACCCAGTATTTGACCAGAGAGTATTCCTCTCTGCACAACATTCACAAATCTCTCCCAGATCAGGAAGCACTGTTGGACAGACACACTATTACCCCTTTCAGAGATGGGGTGACCATGGCCGCCTGCCGAGTGAGTTTCCAGCAGAAGCACCCTGGGAATCCCTCTATGCCAGCAAAGCTTGGATCTGCCTGCTCTCCCTGGCCGTCAGGGAAGGAAGGCGGGCAGGCAGTCACCTGGGGCACAGCGGGCAGGAAGTAGCTGGCAGGCTGCTGGAAGGAGCCCATGATGGGGCCGCCCAGAGCCCGCATGGTGGAGAGGCGCTGCATGTACTGATTGGTCAGGATGGCCTTCCGCTCTTCCTTGCGCTGGGCCAGCGCCACATACAGTGGCTTGGTGCCCACGATGCGCCCATTCATCTCTGTCACAGCCTTGGTCGCCTCTTCTGGAGAGGAAAAACACACAAAGCCAAACCCTTTGCTGTGGCCACCCTCTGTCATCACCTAAAAGCAAGACAAGACAAGGGCTGCTGGGGGTGAAGAAGGAAGACTCCGGGGATCAAGTTCCCCTCCCTTCCCCAGGGAGGGGGAAGGCCTGGTGCGGAGGGCACCCAGGAGAAGTTGCAATTGATGAGGTCCTCTCACCCTTAAATTTACTGAGGCCCACTGCATGCCAGATGCTTGACAGGCCTTCTCATTTGACTTGCAGAGCCACCTGAGTGGGGAGGCATGGCCACACCCACTTTACAGGTGATGGAAGTGAGGCTCAGGATGACCTGCCCAAGACCAGCCCGCCTGCTACCTGGGGGCTGTTCCTCAATTACTAGACCATTCCCCAGAGTTAGTGAGAACAGGTGCATTTCAGAGTGCATTTTGACCTCTAAATTTTCCTCCTAGAGATTTTCCTGGACTTCCCTGGTGGTCCACTGGTTAAGAATCCACCACACAATGCAGCTGATGTGGGCTCAATCCCCGGTCAGGGAACTAAGATTCCCACATGCCTCAGAGGTACTAAGCCCATGAGCTGCAACCACAGAAGCCGCAAATAGAGAGCCCGCACTCTGCAACTAAGATCCGACACAGGCAAATAAGTAAATAAATATTTTTTAAAAGATGTTCCTAAGTAGTGATGGAAAGCTGCTTTAAATTGTTATTATATCTGCCTTCATCAGTGAGGCTATAATGAAGTGGGTCGATAGTTTGGGACAGGTTAAAATTTAGGGGCAGGGTTCCTCAGCCAGGCTACAAAATCTTAAACCTCTTGGTGGGCGTCACTGTGATGAAAAATCTGTATTTCAACTACTCCCTGGGTTTCATTAAACTACCCATACAGTTCTTTAGTTCATTTGTGAATTATAGACAATGTGAGATGCTCTTAAGAGCTGTAGTTTCTAGAGACTCCATTAAAGGGGTTTGTTTGGAAGAGGAAAATAATTTGAATTTGTATTTTTGGTGCTTTATCATGTTGATTTTCTTTGCAATAGAAACAAAAATCCTCACTACTATAAAAAAAAAAAACTTGTCCAGAGTCACCCAGCCAGCGGGTCACAAATTAGCCACAACTAAACCCAATGCACAGTGCTGGAAAACCTCCACTGCCTTGGCAAGGCATGAGCCAAGTTCTTTGAAAATCTCAGGAAGAGGTTCTTAGTCTTTTTCAAACTATTAAAGTAATCTTTCTGGGACTTCCCTGATGGTTCAGGGGCTAAGACTCTGTGCTCCCAATGCTAGGGTCCCGGGTTCAATCCCTAGTCAGGGAACTAGATCCTGAATGCCACAACTAAGACCCTGAACAGTCAAATTAATACATATTTAAAAAGAAAAAAGAAGCCACTTTTCCAACCTGGCTCATATCAGTCATAAAGGTGATCTTTAAGAAAAAAACAAAACCTTTCTACTGTGGAAGGACTTTAGATTGATACAAAAGTTGCAAAAATAGTACAGACTTACTACATACCTTTCACCTAGCTTGACAAATGTACCATGTTAACACTGGGGCAAAACTACAATATCAACTGATTGGGACAATACTATGAATTATTATCTACAATGCTATTAACTGAACCACCGATTTCATTCAGATTTCACTGGCCTTTCTAACATTTCTCTCTTCCAAGATTCAATCCACACTGCATTTACGATTCCTGATTTTTTTTTTTTTAAGGTCAAGACACTGGCCTGACTCCATGAGGACTTGAGCTGAGAACATTGTAAATCTCCTCTATTAGAACCCACACCCTAACATCAGTGATTTTCAACTGCACTTTGCTACCCATTCATACAAGGTCTTGACCTGAGCCTTCACAGATCCCCTCAGAAAGATCACTGGATAGAACTCTGGGGGTCTGTGAACTTCGATGGGGAAAAAATGGCGTATTTTCACATTAGCATTTCCTTCTATTCTGAATATAGGCAAAGAAAAAATAAAGTAGCATTAGCTGTGTGGACTTTGTCAAGAGGGATGTTTTCCTATCACATTAATCATTGCTGACCTCGATCTTTTAGGCTCATTGCCACTTCACTAGTCTTACAGGTTTTTTTCTTTTGACCATGCCATGTGGCTTGTGGGAATCTTGGCTCCCCGAAAGTCACTGAACCTGGGCTCTCAGCAGTGACAGCGCAGAGTCCTAACCACTGGACGGCCAAGGAATTCCCCCAGATCTTAGTTTTTTGTTTTTTTTTTTTTTAGATCTTATAGCTTGATGCATTACTAAAGGAGCACGTACTGCTGTCACCTTAGTATTTTAACAAATATATTTCAATACAGCTGTTTTTTGTAATACTATGAATTTTCTTTTATGCATTTAAAAATATCTTCAGAAGGGGTCCATAAGCTTTATCAGACAACCAAATTTTCTTGGCACAAAAACAATGTTTTAACAAGTTAATAAGAACTACCATTAGGTAGTTTTAAAAAGAGAGAAAATTATACGATGAATACTTATACAGAGCTTACTATGAACTTAATCTATATGTTAACAACACTATCATCTCATTTCCAAGCATTATTTTATAAAATAGAAAATAAATTATGTAAGTTTATGTAAGATTATATAAAATTCCCATTTTATAACAAGATTATCACCCCAGTGTGCCTCATCTCTAAGCAATACAGATTTTAACAATTCCTTTCAATTCAAGAGTTCCTCAAGGAGGTCAGTGAGCCTTCTGAAGTTATATGCAAGAAGTGTAAACAATTAGATCATTATTTCACTACTTATCAAGGGCAGGTGTTTCACTTGCAGGCCTTTTAGTTCTCAGGATACCTCTCAAAGTAGGTAATATTACCCCCATATTTTACAGATGGGTAAGTAAACCAAATAGCTTCCTTCAGTCCTTAATGCTAGGACTGGGATTTAGACCTAGTTCTGATTAACTTTAAAATCCCAGCTTACAACCACAGTACTATATAAAGTATGCATTGGCCAGCAAAGAGGGCCCAGAGCTTTATACAAATCAAATTTTTCAGCTTACTGATTGTTCAACTGAATCAGAGTTACTGGTGTTTAATTCACATGTCCCATTGCTTTCTCTCTTTTTTTTTTTTTGAGAAAAGGTCCTTAACTCAGAAATTGTTAGAACCTCATCCCCAAATAACAGGCTCCCTGAAGGACATTTAAAAAGGATTCAACAGGCAAAAGAACTTCTAGACCACTTCATAAGAACCCAATCATCACACTACATGTGTAGGTCCCAAGGCCCCCACCTACACTATCTCTTTGGAAATTTCTTCATTCCCACCTGCAGCTCCCCACCTCTTCACAGCCAAGGAAAACGCTGCTGCCACTGCTACTTCTTACAGGAAGTCCTCCTTCCTCTTCTGCTAAGCTACCGCATCTCTGCCTCCTATACGGACCTCGCCCCCACCACACCCTACGGTAGACTTGAGTGAGTGATGCATCTGACTTCCCCACAAGACTGTAAACTACTCAAGAGCAAGGACTGCATCTGACTTATTCCTGTGTGCTCCCCACAGGGCATGGCAAACAGCAAGTGCTCAAGTATGGAATGAATGATCACCGTGTCTTTCTTCTTAAAAATAATCTGGGGAGGGACTTCCCTGGTGGTCCAGTGGTTAAGAATCCACCTTGCAATGCCAGGGACACGGGTTCGATTCTTGGTCAGGGATCTAAGATTCTACATTCCTTGGGGCAACGAAGCCTGCAAACTGCAACAACTGAGCCTGCATGCCGTAACTAGAGCATCTGTGCACTGCAAAGACCCACATGCCACAACCAAGACCTGAGACAGCCAGATAAATATTTTTTAAAATCTGGGGAGCTTTTAAAATTAAGATGCCCAGAGATCTACATTCAGGTTCTCTGACTTGGGAGTCTAGTTTAGAGCTCTCCAGGGGATTTTAACGAGAAGCCAGGGTTCAGAACCATCCAGGGAGTCCATCACCCTCATCTTACAGAGGGGGCTAGGAAGACATCTGCTCAAGGTCACAGAGCCAACACCACGTCTCTGATGCTAAGAGGGCTGAGCACACAGCAGGTGCTCAATAAATAATGAGCAAAGAATGATGCAGGCCAACTCTTTCATTTTCCATTTGGGGGAACTGAGGCCCAGAAAGGGGTTTTATCACTGGCCAGGGCCAGATAACATAAGTCAATGGAAATTCTGAGACATAATTTCTGGTATCTGGCATACAGTAGGCACTCAATAAATGCTTGTTGAATGAACCTAGGTTACAGTGAGCCCCAATAAGTCTAGCTGTGTGAGTGGGACTGTATTTCTACCCTCTTCCCCTCCAGTCCAGATAAGCTGCAGATAAACAGCAAGCTTCAGTGGGGTCAGACCCAGTTCTCACTCGGGAAGGAGCAGCATAGCACCACCAACTCCCTGAAAACCACAAGGCAGGGCGGGGGTGGGGTGTTCAAGGGCAGTGAGGATGGGAGGGAAGGCTACGGACCCCCTGTGGGTGCCCCAGGCCCTCACCTTGGCACTGGTGATCACTCCATAGGGAGAGAACTCTTTCCTCAGTTTCTCATCATCTATGGAGTCATCCAGGTTCTTCACATACAAGTTCACGCCCTAGAAGGAAAAGGATACCCGCTAGATGCTACCCTTCCCCTCCAAGTCCCAGAATGCCTTGGGATGGAAGGAGGGGCTTATATGGGCTCCGCCCACCAAGCCTCCAGTTCCCAGCAGGCAGCGCCCCAGCAACCCACCCATCACTCAGCCAGCCCAGCACCCGGAAGCTGTAACCCCTTCCCCTTCCTCCCATCCCCAAAGCCAAGTTTCTGGAAGTGGGACTGCTGGGGGAGGGAGCCACATTCAGGGCAGCACCCACACTGTCACATCGAAGCAGCTGCCCCAGGAAGCCTGACCCTCACCTGGTAACGGGTCAGCCGGTCCTGCTTCATCTGCTCAAACCTGCGCTTCAGCTCATTCTGCCGCTCCACCCGCTTCTGGGCCCGGCCCACGTAGAGCAGCCGCCCGCTCACCTCCCTCCCGTTCATGTTCACCACAGCCTGTGCAGAGAAGAGGCAACCAGTTACCTCACTGGTCCACTCTCACGAGCCCTTGGCCTTAACCTGGCCTCCAGTCCCATCTTCTGAGTCCAGGGGGCGCCAGCTGCAAGTCAGGCCAGCCTAGTTAGCTGAGAGGAACTGGTACCAGGATCAAGGCCATTTAAAGTGAATCCATTTTTTTTAAAAAAACATGGGACAAAATTTCAGAGTAAACTGTAGCTATTTTTTTTTTATTGCTTTGAGCTTTACTTTAAAAAGTGAAATTTTAATTTGCAACGTTTCCCATACTTAATATTTAGTAGGTTCCAAGTGTAACTACACACTGATGATTTGAACAAAGCAACAAGCATAATTCTTTCAAAATGGTGTGATGCCATCATCCACAGCCTTCATGTTGGGGTTTCACAGCACAGAGAACCCTTCTTGCTAACTATGAAGGCTTTAATTTAGAAGAATTGACTTCTTAACCCTTGTTGATTTTTCTTCAGTTAACTGACCTCAGTCTGCCAGATCCCAAACTGTCAGTGGTTTTGATTCCATGAAATCCTACATCTTCTTTAAGAGGTACAATGTCTTTCTGCAACCCATTCATAATGAATTGAATTTGCATCAATTCGTCTGCAAAAATCTGCAAAAGGCAGACCCATATGTATATTGACTCAAAGATGTGGATTAGACACTGGTGTTAGGGAGGAGAAATGTTTGGAAAGGAACTGAATTTTTAAGTGGTCAGTTCATTAGTAAATACTTTCACATGATGATGACTTGTTTCTCTACCTAAACATGCAGACGAATGTAAACATATGTAAAAACACTGAGCTCCCAAGAACTGTCTACATGAGTCTCAGGTCATTACCTAAGACCTCGGAGACTATGGTTTCCCCTGCCAGCTTCATCCATCTACTCCAACTTATCATTTTATAGTTAGGACAATCAAAGTCTACAAAAGGACAGGACTAGTTCAAGGACACAAAAAGTAAGTTTTCAAAGGAGCCCTTTACTTAAGGATAAAACTTCAGAAAAAGAATTGGTTCTAGCTCCAATGATCTGTCTTCTTAGCTACAACCTGCTGGATCCTGATAATTACAGTAGGGCCCACACTGGTGGGAGAGACAGGAGAGCGTATGAAAAACCAGGCAGCACCCGGCCTGTGGTGCGTGCTCAGTGAGAAGTGGCTGCTCTCAAGATGGGCCCAGGATCCCACCGTAGGCTGAGCTCTTCCATGACCAGTGAGCTTAATGGGGCAGCAGCCATGGAACCAGCTTCATGGTGGGAGGCAAAATAGGACATTTACCCTCTGTTACTCATGGTATGACCTTGAACCTTTCCCTAGCTCAGGATATATGTACCTAGTACCTACCAGCAATACTAGAGATTTAACGGTGACACAAGACCCAGTCTCTGCCCTCAGTTCTATCCAAGGAGAATCTGGGCTAATGATGGAGACGGACAGGAGGGGCACCTCATCAGAAGCATTGAGGACAGGAAGAGGTGGCTTCCTGATGAGGGAAAAACATAAGCTGAGACCTGTCAATAATCTATAATTACACTGTCCAACATGGTAGTCACTTGTCACATGCAGCTCCTGAATACTTGAAATATGGCTAGTCTGAACTGCCATGTGCTAGAGTCACCAGATTTCAAAGAATTAATACAAAAAAGGAAATATAAAAATCTCAGTGTTTATCAATATAAATTTTGTATCACAATTATATCACTGTTATATCACATTGAAGTGATCATTTGAATAACAAAATATATCATTAAAATTATGGAGGTTTCTTATCCTTGCTAGCATGGCTGTTGGACAGTTTTGAACTGCACATGTGGCCCATGTTATATTTCCAGTGGACAGCACTGGTCTAAAGAATACGGGAGGGGAAGTGTTTTGAGAAAATGTTTGCAAAGGCTCGGAAGCAAGGAATAACATGGCACTGCCCCTCCCTGGCCTCAGTCCCACCATCAAGTCAAGAAGAGGGTAATGGCTGGGACTTCCCTGGTGGTCCAGTGGTTAAGACTCAGCACTTCCACTGCAGGGAGTGAGGGTTAGAACCCTGGTCAGGGAATTAAGATCCCACATGCCACGTGCAGGGCCAAAAAAATGGCTGTCTCAAAGGCCCCTACTAGCTCCCGTGTAGTAAGATTCTGTGAAAAGCCAGCCAATCTCAGGGTATAGAAGCAACCAGAGGAGGCAGAAGGTATCTGCCTTCACCACAGGCATGAAGGGCCCTGGCTCCTCTGGACCCATTCTGGGGAGGGACTTTTTCCTCCATGGGCAGCTGGAGCCCTCTGCTCCTAATCTCCCTTGTTCCCAGGCCTGGCTCTGCACCTCCTCCATGAAACAGGGCCATGGGGACGCTCCTACCTTCTGGGCTTCCTCATGCTTCTCGAAGTTGACAAAGCCAAAGCCGCGGGAGTGGCCGCTGTCATCCCTCATCACCTTGACACTGAGCATCTTCCCTGGGAAGGGCAACTCGGCTCAAAGGGGCATCAAGGAAGCCCCAAGAAGTCCCCCACCCTCCCCCCAAGCCTTCAGGAAGCCCCAGGGGGCCCTCCCTACAGCCTGAGCTGGGAGTCGAAGTGATCCTCAACTCCCTTGGGTAACACGCCCACCAAACTGGGAGAAGAGGTCCTGCAGGCGCTGCTCGTCCATGTCCACGTGGAGGTTCTTCACGTAGATGTTGGTGAACTCCATGGCCCGAGCGCCCAGCTCCACCTCCCGCTCCCGTCGGGACTTGAAGTGGCCAACGAAGCTGTGGACACACAGGGTAGGCAGCTGCCTACGGCTGCCATCAACCGCCCCCATTCCTGCTCCAGCCCATGCAGCAGGCCTGGGTCCCTTGAGTCAATTGCCGCCGGCCTTAGGGCCTCTGTACTCCTCATCTGGGGACTGGGCAGGACAATATTCCAAGACCAAACCACCTCCAACAGCCAAGACTCTATGTCCCAGAATAAGGTTCAGATGACGTTCCTCTTGGGACAAATGCACTGCATCTCCTATTGCACATGAGGCAGCTGAGTGCCCAAGAGACAAGAGCACAAAATTGGGAGTCACACAGAAAAGGGCTTGAATCCTCACTCGGTAGCTGCCAAGCTGTGTGACCCCAGGCAAGTTACTAACCTCTCTGAGCCTCAGTGTTCATTCCAGTAAACTGGGGATCAAACTCATATCACAGGTATTTGCTTATTCATTTAACATGTATTGGGTGCGCTGGTTGTGAGAGAACCAGATGCAGTTTATGCCAGTATCACTAGGGCAGGTGGCAGGGTGGGGGTGGGGGGCACTGAAATAATTTAAATGTAATATGAAGTTAAGTTTCCAAGTCTACATAAAGTCTAAGAAACTATCCTAGATTAAGGAAAACAAAGAAAGCATAAGAAAACCTGAGGTACCTATAAGACATTTAGTGCAAATAGTTATAGCTGGCACCAAAAATGGAAGGAAACCAGGTAACAGGAAAACAGACAAACTAAAGCTGCCAAAAATAGAAACATGCTTCTGGAGATTCAGGGAAAGCCCACCAAAGTTCACGTTCACTGATGGAGAAACTGGACAAAATGACCCTGGGCATTTCCCAGCTCAAAGTCTCCTCCACTGCACAGCCTCAGGCTTAGGGCTGGGCCATCTGATGAGCAGAACCAGAACCAGAGGGAAATTCCCTGGTGGTCCAGTGGCTAAGACACCACACTCCCAATGCAAGGGGCTGGGTTTGATCCCTGGTCAGGGAACTAGATCCCAAATGTTGCAACTAAGACCCGGTACAGCTGAAAAAAAAGAAAAAAGAAAAAAAAGAACCAGAACTAACTGAGAAAATCACCAGAGCAGATTCTTTCCAGCACCTGTGACTCAATTTTCCCATCTGTAAAGTGGGAAAGACGCCAAACTTAAAGGCATGAAAGTGGCAGGCTAAGCATATGCCAACCTTCCTCCCTGTCTCCAAATCCCAGGAAACAAAAGGTTTAATAAAGTTCACAGCCACACTGAGAAGGCTGGAAAACAGACACAGATCACTGAGTCCATGGATGACTTGGCCATTAGCTGGAATCTCCAAAGCATCCCCTCATTTACTATTCAGGATCACCCTCCAACACATGTCAGCAGCCCCATGTTTTACTTGAGGAAAGGGAGTCCCCGGGAGATTGAGCAGCCTACGCGAGGTCCCACGGCCAGTAATACCGCAGCCGCTCCGTGTCCAGTGTCCGTTGGCTGGCAGCAGCAGGACTGGTCCCAGGCTGGCGGTACCATGATTCTGCTCCTTTAGCCCTGACCCCACGCCCCCCAACTCCTCACTCACACTTTGCGGTCGTTCAGCAGCATTCCGTTCATGGTGCTGATGGCGTTCTGCGCAGCCTCGTGGGTCTCAAAATGCACAAAGCCGAAGCCGCGGGAGCCGTGCTCATCACACACCACCTGCACCACAGGGAAACAGGACACAGAGCATCCAACAGGAGGTTCCCGTAGAGAAGAATGGCAATCGTGATAAATGACTAATATCTGAGTGCTGGCTCCCTGCCTGTCAAGACAATCCTGTGTCATGCAACAGCCCTATTTTACAGATGGGAAATGAAAGCTCAGAGAGGTCAATCTATTTGCTTACGATCACACAGTAAAGAGGGACAGATCCTCAGATTGAACACAGGTCTTGTCTATACCACAGACCAGCTTTTAATGATCTTCCTAACGCAATGGGTAAAAGGATTAGATTCAAGTCACTTGCCCTCCCTTACTGCATCGTGAAACAACCCAAGTGTCCATCAAGAGGAGACTGGCGTCCCAAATGCTGCTTGTGTGAAATTAACATCTTTCTTCCCTGTTATAACACTATGAGGTAGAAGTTATTAACCCCTATTACAGATAAGTGAAATGAAACAGAGGCTTCATAAATTGCTCCAGACTGTACAGCTAGTGAATACCCAATCTCAGACTTGAACCACCTCACTTCACTGTCTCTGGCATATAGTAAAGTAATAATGATACACTGTTTCTAATATTTATACACTTACTTTGTACATTTTATTAATGCTGATCTGTTGTAAATAAACAAATCTATTTATTGGCAGACCAAAAAAAAAGAGAGAGAGAGAAGAGAGAAGACTGGTTAAGTAAATAATATTACATTCATCTTGGTCTGCTGTATGCATAGTTGAAGAGATTTCATGGCTGGTAGAGTTACCTGTAAGGTATATTGTTACCTGGGGGGAAAAAAAAATCAAGTCCACTTGGATTCAAGTGGGCATCTATACATTTGAGAAAATTTTTTTGGCATTTTTGATAACATTTAAGTTTCTGCTAACAGAAGAAATACATATGTAGTGGAAAACATATGGACAGTGAGAGAGACAAAGAGATAGAGAAAGAATGGAAAAGTGACAGAGAGGGGAAAGATAAAAGGAGGAAGGAAAGGAAGTAGGGAGAGAGAAAGTGTGAGATGGCTATATATTTCTTTTTATATAATTTTTAAAGGTTACTTTCCATTTACAGTAATTACAAAATATTGGTTATAGTCTGTGTTATACAATATACCCCTGAGCAATCCTACACCCAATACTGTGTACTTTCCCACTCCCCCACCTCTATACTGTCCCTCCTCCTCTCTCCATTGGTAAGCACTAGTTTGTTCTCTATATTTGTGTTGCTGCTTTTTTTAAAAATTATATTCACTCATCTGTTGTATTTTTTAGATTCCACATATAAATGATATCATATGTGTTTGTTTTTTCCTGACTTATTTCACTTGGGATAATGCCTTCCACATCCATCCACATTCCTGCAAAGTAGCAATTTTTCATTCTTTTTTATGGCTGAGTAGTATTCCATTGCATATATAAACCACATCATCTTTATACGTTCATCTGTTGATGGACACATAGGTTGCTTCCATACCTTGGCAAAGAAATCTTTAAACAGACATGCAAAACTGTTAAGAATTACTATTTTGGGGAACTAGAGTTGAAAGTGATGGAATCTTTTTTATTTCTTTCAGCATTGTTTACACTGTAGCAATTAATGGGACTTCCCTGGTGGTCCAGTGGCTAAAACTCCATGCTCCCAATGCAGGGGGCCTGGGTTTGATCCCTGGCCAAGGAACTAGATCCCACATGCTACATCTAAGAGTTCACATGCTTCAACAAAAATTGCAGCTGAATAAATATTTTCAAAAAACATTTAACAATTAGTTATTTCAACAGCAGACTTGTTTCCAATTTTGAAAAGATCCACAAACATCCTACTCCTATTCTGTAAGGTTTTCGACTCAAGTTAGAACAGACCTCAAGAATAGGAAAGATCTTGGATTTATAGAGTCCCCCTTCCTCTGACTGAATTTGGACTAAGACCCCTAGTGACCATGTAATGGGGTCCCCGGCTCCCCTCACTGAGGGGACTGCCCCCACTCAGCTAAGTGACACTTTTCTACCTTGACCACCATCCCAGTTTCCCAACCCAGTTTCTTTCTGGGCTGACCTGTGCAACACTTTTTCTAAAATGTAACTGTGACCACGTCTCTCTGGGAATAACCCCCGGCAACTCCTACAATCCACAGAAGTACACCAGCCTGACAACTGAGGCTCTCCAGTTGGCGCTGCACAAGTTCTGCTTCTGAATCCATAACCCACACACACCCATCCAGCCCCAAATAGGGCCTCTCCACGTTCAACTCAAGCCCAGCTCTGCCGTTCAGATTTAATCACACTGACTGAGCCCCACTCCAAGCCAAACACCTGCTAAGGGCATCCCATACTGATATATCTGTCATAAGAACCCTTCCAGGCCATTCTTATCCTCTGAGTCTCAAATGCCTGATTGGGGAAAATGGGAATAAATGACTTGTCCAAGGTCAGCCAGTCAGCAGAAATAATTATTTGATGCTTGTAGATACTTAATGGGCTTCCCTACTGGCTCAGTGGTAAAGAATCTGCCTGCAATGCAGAAGAGCCTAGTTCAATTCCTGGGTCAGGAAGATCTCCTGGAGGAGGGCCTGGTAATCCACTCCAGTATTCTTGCCTGGGAAATCCTATGGATAGAGAAGCCTGGTGGGCTATAGTCCATGGGGTCGCAAAGAGTCGGACACAGATGAGCAAGTAACACTTTGACACCTGCTTAATGGGAAGTCCACTACTCTTTCAAGGGATACCCGTGTTGTGAAAATTACCTGAATTAACACTGGGTGGCCAAAATTTTCATTCAAGGGATTCTATAAGATGTTATGGAAACACACAAATGAAACTTTTGGCCAACCAATACATTCACCACCACCCTACGAGATAGGTTTTGTCATTGCCCCCTTTTAGAGGAAACTGAGGTATGGAGAGCTGAAACAACCAGCCCAAGGCCATACTGCCGGGAAATGGAAGAGGCAGGATTTGAACCCAGGACTCCTGGCCCCAAAGGCCAAGGTCTAACCAACTATGCTACATTGCCTCTCTGCTTGGTAGGCTGGGCTGGCCTCTGCACTTGGGTAGCCTGGCTCCAGACCAGGGGAGTCCCACCGTGTCTCATAAACCTTTCCTCAGCCCCAGGGCACTGTCCTTCCTGGGCCTTTGTCTCCCTAGATCCCAACGCATCTCCCTCAGAGCTCAATTTCCTGCTGTTGCTAAAAGTCTCACAATTTCCCAACAGCCTGAGAGCATGCAAGGGCAAGTTCTAACACAGAGGGTGCCATCACTCTCAACCTCTCTCCCGCCCTCGCCATCTCCCCAGAAGGCTGGATAGACCAGGGTCTTGGGTAGGGTAACTGACCTGCCATCCTCATAATATATAAAGGCAAACACTCAGGGTAATGGACCCCATTGAATGCTTTGTACCTAACCTGGCCCCCAACAGGGCTTCATTAGGCCTGCAAAGACTTGCCCAAGTCACACAGAGCTTTCGTTCCAATCCTCAGTGATCCAGAGGGAGCCTCAAGCCCTCAGTGATGGGGACAGACATACTCATCCTTGTTAAGTTAATTTCAACTAAGCTGGCAAACTCACTGCTTCAGATCCTGGCTCAGTCACTTACTTCCCACCCCTGTAACATATAACCGGGAATAAGTGATCCCAGTTCTGAGCCTCTCTGCCTTCCACGGTAACTCAGGCATCCTCCTGTTTACATCTTAAGAGGCCACTGGAGGAAATTCAATGAGGATGTATATGCAGAAGATCTACACACAGAAAGTACTGGGAAATCTGCTATTCTTATTGTAGGAACTTAGCACACAGTTAAGACTTCCCCTTCCACTGATCCTCAGAGCCCTTTCCATCATGCAGTGCCTTTAGCAGCTAATCCACCTCATCCAGTCTGTGCGCCCCTCTGAGTCACGAGAATACCCCCTCACTCACAGAGAGGGGTAAGTCCTCACTTAACTTCAGGACTGTGCCTGGCACACAGCAGGAGTCAAGGAAGAGTTCTCACACATGGGGGTGCCATCACTCCCCCTTCCCCAGCCACCTCCCCAGAAGGCTGGACATGCCAAAGGCTGCAAGGTAACTAACCGACCATCCGCATAAAATCAGGGGGCAAACACACCCAGGGTTAGGCCTGTCAGGACAGACTAGCCAGCTGTATGGCCCCCTGACCCTCAACTATAAGTCAGAGAAATGCCTACATCCCTTCCCAAGTGACAATACAGTTGTTAGCTCAACTAATATTTATTGAGCACCTACTATGTTTCCATATCTCATTAGGTACTGAGAGACAGTGGTGAACAAGATCCCTATTCTTAGGTAATTTCCATTCTATCATAAGAGAAATGCTACAAACATGATGTCCACTGCCATCATGGTCCCAATTGAGGGCCTTCTTGCATCTACTTGTTCTGTCCTATAATGTCTACTGCCCTCTCATTCTGAATTTGGGTTGTTCTCATGATTTACTTTGGCCAGTAGAATGCAATGAAATGACAGTGTGCATTCTGAGCCTAGGTCTCAAGAGGCCTGGCAAGCTTCCACTCTCCATCTGCTGAGACCCTACTATTGCCATGAGTACAGCCTGAGCGAGCCTTTTGGAGGATGAAAGCCCACAGGAAGGAAAGCCAGGACAGTCCAATTGATGACCACTCACTCCCTAGAAGCAGAGCCATCCAGCTCTCAGTGGGCATACGAAGGATCCAGCCAAGAGCAGAGGAACGGCCCAGCTGAACTCAGCCCAAACCACCAATGGCAGAATTATGAGCAAAATAAATAGTTGTTGTTGACACCTGCTATATTAAGAGGTGGTTATTCGGCAAAACAGTTAGCCGATCCATAGGTGACCACTTGACAGTTCTATGAAGATAAAACTGAGAACAACTATCATGCAGGTGCTAGCTGAACCTGACACTTTACTGATAAGACCTTGTAAAGTGTAAAGTGAGGTGCTGCTTGCTAACCCTCTACCATCATCCAGGTGTCTAACGCAGAACCACCCGCCCGCCCCACCCCCCACCCTGCTGCAACAGGCACACCAACCTTACAAGACAGGATGTTCCCAAAGGTGGAGAAGGTGTCATACAAGGCCTTGTTATCAATGGAGTCCTCCAGGTTCTTGATGAAGATGTTGCCCACACCTGACTTACGAAGTCCTGGGTCTCGCTGGGACCACATGATGCGGATGGGCTGGCCTTTGATCACCTCAAAGTTCATGGTGTCCAGTGCCCGCTCCGCTGGACAGGAGGAGAGAAAGGAGCTAATTAAGGGTATTTTCTTTCCCTGAGCCCTCAACAGCTTAATTGGGAGCTGAGCCAATCAATAAATGAGCCACTGGCTGGGTCTCATTCAAGATAAGAGCTTGAAGGCTCAAGAGGAATAAATAGAATTCATGTGTGTGACTTCCAAGTAGGATCTCCTTCAACTCTTTTATCATAGCGAAATGAGCATGAATTCCTACCCCCATTTTATAAAAAGACAAACTGAGGCTGAGAAAGGGGAAATGATCAGGAGAGTCCCTATGACAAGGGTGGCAGCAGTTTGAGGAAAGTGAAGCTCAGAGGTGCTGGGTGGCAGAGTTGAGATTTGATCCCAAAGAGGATGGCTTTCGGGAAAGTGAACATCACGTCTCTGAGCCCACTTCTACACTTGGAAAGAGGTGCTGATGACTGTACTACTCAAGGACTTCCCTGATGGCTCAGTGGGTAAAGAATACGCCTGCAATGCAGGAGACTCAGGTTTGATCCCTGGGTTGGAAAGATTCCCTAGAGAAGAGCATGGCAACCCACTCCAGTATTCTTGCCTGGAGAACTCCATGGACAGAGGAGCCCGGTGGGCTACAGTCCACAGGGTCATAAAGAATCGCACATGACTGATTGACTAACACACTTTCTACATCTAACAATGGGAGAGGATATCACCCACCTCCAGCTTGTCAGACAGACTGAAAATTAAATAACGTGTGAGACTCCCCTGATGGTCAAGTGACTAAGACTCCATGCTCCCAAGTGCAGGGGGCCTGGGTTCCATCTCTGGTCAGGGAACTAGATCCCACAGCTGCAACTAAGAGTTTGCATGCTGCAACTAAGAGAGATCCCACATGTTGCAATAAAGACCAGGTGCAGCCAAATAAATCAATAAATCATTATTTTTAAGTGTTAAAAATTAAATAACCTGTGCAGAGCGCCTTGTGCCTAGCTCAAATAGGTATTTGGTAAACAGCAATATGTCTAAGCACAACAGCATATGCCCATCGTCCTGCCAGGTGGCGTGCTGTCCCCAGCTACAGGGACACTTCTGGTTTCAGAGGCATGGAGAGGAACCGTGGAATATTCAGTGGGCAAGTTTGGAGAAGTCTGGGTTTTCCATCTAGTCCTGCCATAAACAGCCAGCAGTAAACCCCTCCTTTCTGGAGCTCAATTTCCCATTCTATAAAATCAGGTTGTACAGGACTTGGCAGAAGACGGCAAGAGGCAGTGGCTGGGTGAAGCAGAGCAGAGGGGAAAGCTCCCTGGAATCCAGCTCAGTTACCTGCTGGGAAACCAGCCAAACCTCCCCAGCAAACTCCCCGAGGCGGGAACCTCCCTAGCCTCCCAGGAGCCTCAGGTAAAGGTGCCCCCTTGTGGACTCGTCTGGGGCAGGCCTCTTCTGGTTACGTCTCCAGAGTCTCACACCTGCTATAGTTACCAGGATTTTTCTTAGGTTAGCACTTACCGAGGGCTTACAATGTACCACATGACACTGGAACTGCTTCCTAGACACAATTCCCATTCCTTCCAGGTTCCTGGGGAACAAGCCTTAGTCCCATTTTACAGAAGAAGAGGTGCCAAGTGTGACGACTGGCTCAAGTTCACACCCTCGCGGCAGAGCTCCAACAAAACCTAGCGCTCTTGATTTTTCTCCTCTCGGCTCTGAACAGAAGTCAGGACATACCCAGCTGGCAAGCGCTGATCGATCCTATCAGTTCTGAGAAATGGGCTGTGGACTCCGGAGGGGAGGCAGCTTTTCGGGATTCCCCAAAGTGGAGGCGCCTGATGCAGACCTCGGGATCCGCTGTCAGGAAGGGCCGCAGACCGGGGCCGAGCACTCCTGGCTGCCCCACCCACCATCACCTGTGCCTTCTTGGGCATCTTCCTCACCAGGTGGTGTGCGTTGCTCTCCTCCCAATCACTCTACAAGGCAGGTACCACCCCCATTTTGCAGACAGGTACCCGAAGCTCAGAATGACTCATTGGCTCAGTCAAGGTCGCACCGTTGCTGGCCTTCTAATCCCAGGTCTGGCTGACCCCAAAGCCCTTGGCTGTTTTCACTCAGCAGCATCGCCTCCCTTCCGGAAGGCGGAGCACCAAACAGGGTACACACTAGTTGCTAGGTCCTGTCTCAGGGCCCCCCTCCTGTAAATCTGGATCTGTCTCCCTGGCTACAAAACGGAAGACGCGGGAGTAGCCAGTGGGAAAGCGCACAGGTGGCTGGGATACAGTCTGTCTGTCCGTCGCCCTCCCCGCCCCCCACTCCCCCGGGGGCTCACCGTCTGCTGGCTGCTGGAAGTTGATGTAGGCATAACCCAGCGAGCGGCGGGTGGCCACATCGCGGCACACGCGGATGGACAGGATGGGGCCAGCGGGCGAGAATTTCTCGTAGAGCATGGCCTCGGTCACGTCCGGGTGCAGGTCGCCTACGTAGAGCGAGGCGAGCGGGTAGCCCGGGCCGCTGGCGTTCATGGTGGGCGCGCGACCCCGCGCTCGGCGCCCGCGTGCGCTCACCCGGGCGGGACAAGGCAGCGGGGGCGCGCGGGGCGGCGGCGCTCTTCCCACCCACGTCCGCCCCCGGCCTTGACCGCGCCCGCCGTCCCGAACCAATCGCCAGAGCGCTCGGGTCCCGCCCCCGCAGCTGGGACCCCCCCCCCTCCCCCTCAGCCTTCTAGAAGCCCCAGGTGGGGGGCATCTCGGCCCCCGGGACGGGAAGCGGGGAGAGACCTCACCTGACCCCGGGTAGGGCTCCGGGCTGGCGCCAGCGGCGCAGAGAGGCGGCACTCCATGGCAAGAGACCTGGGTTTTGATCCCCATCACGTCTTTGTCCTTCTTCGCCCGTCTCCCCTCGCTGTGAAATTTAGAGGATTCCCTCTTCACAAGGATGAAAGACTACCGAGTGCTCTGTGCGTTTTACACACAAACGCGAGAATTCCCTGCAGGATGCCGTTTCAAAACTTGTGGACCTACCCTCCTGAAGGGAGGCTTTCTGTCGTCAAGACAGCCTGGGTTTAGTCCCAGCCATCTGGAACCCTTTCGGTGATATGCTTTTGCGCCCGCACCCCACGGCACAGGATGGGGGATCCTGGTTCCCCGGCCAGGGATCGAACTCATGCTGGGTGCACTGGAAGCACGCGGTGGGGTTCTTAAACCACTGGAAGGCCAGGGAAATCCCCCGGCTTGGTGATTTGGGACTGAAGGCTCCATGTGAGAATTCCGGACAGCTCTAAGGCCTTCCTTGACCGGAGTTCTGCCAAGAGCCTTTCGTGGGACGTTCCCTGATCATCTCTTTCAGCGAAGGCATCCCACCTGTGTTCCACACCGAAGGTTCACGAAGTCCAACCTCTGTGGAAACTGCAGGGACCTAACAGATCAAGGTCATGGTGGTGGTCTCAAACTAAGCACCAAGACCCTTCTGTCAGTCTTCGTTTGCAGCCCCAATCTGTGGTGTGGAGTCCTTTTTGAAAATATTGGTCCAACCTACCGTGAAATGATACTTCCCCTGAGCCTCTCCTGCTTCAACAAAACAGGCAGGTTCCCACTGACCTTTGGTTGGGTGTTGACAAGTGGAACAGCTTGGGAACCAGGGGCAGGAGTGAGTCTTGGCTGCCCCACCTACGCTATCAAGCATCAACCACTTCTGTCTTGGGCTTAATTTATCTTCCCATCTTGACCCCCTCCTTCATTCTTGTGGGAATGTGGATGTTTTCATTTTTGGCTGCACCCACCCTGGCTTGCAGGATGTTAAGTTTCCTGATCAGGAAGCAAACCTAGGTGCAGTGAGTGAAAACGCCCAGTCCTAACCACTGGACTGCCAGGGAATTCCCAATGTGGATCTGAGGCTGGGGCAAACCCCATGAGGAAACTCAATGCTGCAGGCTCTTAGATGATTTTAGGGCAGATAACAGAGCCTGTACAACTTTGGAGATGAGGAGGACTTCTGCTACCATCTCCTTTGGTTACATCTCAGGGTAAAGTAAGTGTGGTGGTGCTGTATGAGTGGGATGCAAAGTAACAGTCCATATCACTAAGTCATTGAAGCCACAGATGAGGATCTAACACCTGGATGGTTTGTTGTGGAAGGTGGACAGGTTCTGTGTTCATTCAAGGCAATTTCTTCCCAACACAACTTCTGGCTCCTTTTGAAGACTGAAAAGTGAGTCACTCACTCGTGTCCAGCTCTTTGCAACCCCATGGACTATACAGTCCGTGGAATTCTCCAGGCCACAATACTGGAGTGGGTAGCCTATTCCTTCTCCAGTGGATCTTCCTGACCCAGGAATTGAACTGAGGTCTCCAGCATTGCAGGCAGATTCTTTACCAACTGGGCTATCTGGCTCAAAAGGATAAAGTGAAGCTGCTGCCTCCTTTTGAAGAGAAGAGCCCCAAGTAAGTGTGCTCAGCAGTCAGCTGGTTCCAGTGATGATACGGGGGACGCCACATATCAGTGCATCAGCCAACTAACTGATAAAATTTTTATTTCACTTTTGAGTTTTTACACTTTTCCTGATTATTCCGTGTAAGGTGGAAACTAGAACTGTTTAAAAGACATACACAAATCTAGTACATCAATAACCGGGGTTTTTTCTTTTTTGCTATACTATTTTCACAACCACGGGTGTGCTTGCTAGGCAATATAACCATCACAGAAGCAAACGTGAGGCAGAATACTGGTGAGGAAAAACAAAGCAAGAGAGCTACCAGATATACAGACAGGCTCGTTCCACATTCACTACTGCATTTTCAAGCGGCAAGTATTAACTGCACATTTTTGTTCAGCTAGAAAGGAGAGAGGTTTTTTTTTTTCTTTTTTTCCTTTTGGTTTGTTTGAAATCAGTGCATGAATGTTTCTTTTCTTATTTCAGCAGATGGACAAACAGATGGGACACTACGGCTACGTGGAATGTTCGGGGAGGAAGGTGGAGACTGAGACTGGTAGGCTGGGCTATTCCTGACTCTCCCCATCGCTGTGTTCATGCAACTTCCCTGACATTTGTCTGTGAACTTGACGGGATGGGTACCCTTGGGAGAGCTGGTGACAGGTGCTAACAAGCATTATCAGGGTTGGCTGCAATATAAACAGAAACCATGGATATTTAAAAATACTTCTTGGAGTCAGATCTTGGTGTGACTGAAGAGCAACCACCGTGCTGAGAACTGGAGGAAGACAGACCTGAAACGTGGGAAGCTCTTTTCAACTCTCTGAAGCAAGGCTGGCTCACCAAAGTGCTCGCCAACATCCCTCACCCCTCTGTGGACCCCCTGTCCCTGCCCATCTAGTACTAAACCATGAACAAAAGGCAGAGAGAATGCACAAAGAACAAAATGTAAGGATGCAGAAGGACAGAAATTTAGAGAAGACTAAAGTCAACAGTCAAAAAGGACTGTGGGAAAGAATGTTTAGATTTCAAAATTTTAAAGCCCCGAGCTAGGAAGAACCCAAACACTGAGTACTTAACTCCTCAAGTGAAAGACAATCTCTGCAGAACATTATTCTTAAAGGTATTACCCAGGAAACAGATAAGGCCATTCATAAGATACACGGCTTTTTTTTTTCCATCTTGAGCTCATGGTTACAGGGAAAACAGATTCCACTACCTAAGCACAAGCTGCCAATCAGCAAACATGCTGCTATATAGGGGAAGGGGCTGGAGTCACAGGTGGTCTATGAGCACTGGACCGTTGCATGCTGTCATAACCCAGTTATCTGCCACCAGGAATGTTCATTTCTGGCTTCGAGTTTCCATGGAGGAAGACACTGTGGCCATCTGTGGTCACGAACTTTTCAGTGGCAACAAGCCCCAACATACCAAGTGTCTAAAAGCCCTGATCAGAATGGGCAGAATCACTAGAAATTACTGTAAAACTCGAATGCCAAACGAGAGGTGACCCACTCCAAGTCCCAGTGTCACAATAGAATCTATAACTTTCTGTACAACTTTACAATGGAACTATATTTCAGGGACAACTGTTTTGAATCAAATTTAACTTTCCAAAAAGTTACACATAATTCAGGTCTATTTTTTTTTCTACCAGTAAGAGTTCTGCTAAATTACAAAACCCCATAATCACAGTGTTCAGTTTTGTTTTTTTTTTTTTAAAAATGAAACACACAGTAATCCTGTCAATGTTAATCAAAATCAAAACTTCAGAATGCCGTGGCATTTATGTGACCAATCTGAATTTTAGATACAAATACCAGCTGTTCATCCCATGGACCATTTTTGCTAGGCTGAGGCTGTGAAAAATTGAAAGTCGACGTACGTTTCTTTTTTTTTTTTTTATCGCACAAAGGGATATATGTAGAGGGTACAGAGTGACACTGAAGAGATCACGAAGCAGGTAGACATTAGTTCTCTCCCTCCCCAGCATCTCCTTCATCTCCCTGGTTTTCCGACGTCCACAGCTGCAAGAGAAAAACAGAGCTATAAACAAAGTAGGGCTCTTAGGACTTTCTCGGGGAGGTGGCCCATTCTGTATCACCTCATCTCAACTGTTTATAATTCTTCTCATATGACTGCAGACAGTGATGGCAAAGGTCCAAACTTCAGCAGGCGTTTATAACCAATTAAACAAATCACACATCCAGGGCACAAGTCCTGTCCTGAGTCTCGGGCTCTGAGGCAGAGGACCAGGAACAAGCCACGAGCCCCCGCGGGAGTAGGCACGGGCCGGGCGGTACTCACAGTGAGATTGTCTCTCAGCAGCTGCATGATCAGGGTGCTGTCTTTGTAGGACTCTTCATTCAGCGTGTCCAACTCAGCAATCGCCTCATCGAACGCCTGAAACAAAGAGCCTTTAGCTAAGAGGTCACAGGTTCCTTGGAACTAGTTCAGCCCCATTTTCTTCCTGCTACCAAGTGACTTACCATTTCTCTTCCTGTACAGTATTCTTGGGGAACCTAGGTTATTGTTACCTTGCTTGCTGGTCATGTCAGTAAACATGTGATGCTGGTTTCTAAAGCATCAACCAACCATGACAAAAATTCCTAGGTAAGAACTTTACTGTACCTATCAAGTCAACAAGTATTACTTATTCTAAATGAATTCACATGATATTTGAATTACCAAAGACATTTCTAGTAATCCCTCCTCTTTTTCATTAAGCGGAAAAACAAAAGGTTTAGATACAGGAGATAAATGGAGAACAGAAGTTCACATCACTAAATCCAAACTTCAATTAAGTGATGCAACTCTGAGCATTCATTTCACAGTTTTTACCAATTAAAAAAATGTTCAAGGACTGTGCATATTGAAACATGACAAAAACATGAAGAAAAGGCAGTTTTCTATCCAAAGAAGACAAGATGTAATTCAGGACACAAAGAAACAAGATCTGACTTCCTTCTCTACACCTCCTGCCATAACCTCCCGCCTCAGTACAAGGACGACACTGTGGAACAGAGGCCTACAGCCCAGGGCGTGCCGAGAGCAACACACTTCATCCTCCCTGGACTGTCTACAACCTCCAGCCCAAAAGAGAAACCAAACAACTCAAATGCCAATCAGCATGAGGCACTGAGAAGACGTCAAGAAGTAATAGCTCCATAAAAGATGGAGTCAATACAGATGGTTTCTCCTACCCCCCGAAAAATCTTCACAGAAGTCCAAAACGATGAGTTACGTTCAGGTAATTTTAAAACACAAGGTTCTAGAAAGCATGAGCATTTTTACTATCAGAAACCCCAGAAGGACTTTCTCACCGTTTTTGCCAGGCTGCAAGCCTTTTCAGGAGAGTTTAGAATCTCATAATAAAACACGGAGAAATTAAGTGCCAGGCCCAGTCGAATGGGGTGTGTAGGCTGCATTTCTTTCTTACTAATTTCAAATGCTTCTTGGTAAGCCTGCTGGGAGTTCGACACAGTGGCTATAAGAGAGAGAAAAAAAAGTGAAAGGGTGGGTCTTTCATAAGGCTGCATTGTACGCCCGATCCACTACCAAATTATTTTGCCAAGCTGGGCTGGAGCAAATGTGCCATCAAATGTCTCTACTATCCGATCAATAACCGTCTGTTAAACATGTGCGCTAACCTGAGTACTGTATGAAATGCTCTGAGGGAAAACAAAGACAATGATGACAAAGTCTACAAAAGCAGTTAGGAGATACAGGAATAACCCTGAACAAGACGGAACATGGAAAGCAATGTGCTCTAATGAAAAGATCGTGGACTTCAGAGTCAAGACGCAAAACTGGAATGAATTCCCAACTCTTAATTGTGTGGTTTGGACTGAGTGAAAACCTCTCTGAGCCCTGGTGTCCTTATCAGAAAAAAAGGACAGACTCCCACCAACACTCCTAGAGTTGTGTGAGGAATAAATGAGACACACAGGAGGCACTTAATAAAGCAGAGCCACAAGCACCATTACACTAAAACACGTATATGACAAAAGAAATGTATCTCTCTTTACCATGGCAGTTTTACTCTATCAACCATTTTAAAGTTTCACATCTAAGACAGTTACCAAACAATCCTTAAAATAAAGATCTTTTTAAATGCACTACTGCACCAGACTTTTAATACCCCCATACCTGTCCCTTCGGTGCATCTGTCAACCCCATGACCCTGTTCAGGGGCTTCCCAGGTGGCACTAGTGGTAAAGAACCTGCCTGCTAATTAACATAGGAGACACACGAGATCCAGGTTCGATCCCTGGGTCAGGAAAATCCCCTGGAGGAGGAAATGGCAACCCACTCTAGTATTCTTGCCTGAAAAATCCCATGGACAGAGGAGCCTGGCGGGCTACAGTCCACGGCGTCACAGAGTCAGACGCGACAGAGCAACTGAGCTCACTCACAGAGCACTCGTGACTGTTTATCACTGGTCAGCACAGGCTGTGGCTCTTTAAATTCCAACTACAGGCCAAGCAAAAACTCAACATTATTATGAAGACGGTCTCTGCTACTGGTCAAATTCCTCAAAAAAAAAAAGAAGAAAGAAAAGAAACAAAAGTCACTTACTTTGCTTACTGTCTCCAGAGGCCACCTCGGAAAGGTACCTGAAGTAGTCGCCTTTCATCTTCAGGTAGAACACCTTGCTCTCCGGCTGCGTGGCGTGGGGGATGAGGTACTTGTCCAGCAGCTCCTAAAAGACGGTCCGCACTCTGCTAAGGGTCTGGGAGTGTTGCTTACAAGACGTTAGGGTTTGAGATACTACCACTTCTCAATAACTGGGGGGAGTGGGGACGTGATTGCAAAATACATGATTTCCATCCAAAGTCTTAAAATAGTTTTTAGCCCAGGTCATAACAGATGCCAGTATCCATTAAAATCCACCTTGAGAGTCCAATAAAGGGTTAAAATACAGCCATACAATGGCATGCTACACAGGCATTAAAAATGACGATGTAGAACTACACTGATAATGTAAAAAGGCTCTCCAAAAGAAGTCTAAGTGGGGAAAAAGAAAAACGGATAATAAATACCAAGTGAATCCTATTTTAATATTAAAACAGATATGTGCACATGCATATAAATACCTAAGGGAAAAATCTAGAAGGATATTTATCAAGATGTTAACAATGGTTCTCTAGGTGGTAGTATTAGAAGTGATTTTTTTATTTCCTTATTTATAACTCTTCTGCCTTGTGCTTTAAAAAAAAAATTCGTATTAATTCTGTAATTAAAGGAAAAAAAAAACCTTCCACTAGGGAAGAAAAAGGGTAATAATAGGGAGAAATTCCAAGAACTAACTTTAGAATCACTCAGACCTGGGTAAAAATCCCTCCGCTGCTGCTTACCATCTGTATGACCCTGGACAAAGGACCTGATCGCCCTGATCCTGTTTCCTCAGCTACACAGGGGAAGCCTAACAGCCATCTCCTAGTGCAGTTACGAGGATAAATGAGCCAATGTTCAAAGAGTGCTTAACACGCCGCCTGGCACTAGTAAGCACTCCAAAAGTAGCTAAGACTATTATTAATAATAAATTCCTTTAAACATTTATGCTTACAACAAAAGCAGTTCTGAAGGAGTCCACGCTTCGTATACAGAGCAATATTTTCGAAGAGTTGTTTTAGAATGTGGCATCCTGAAAAACTGGTTAAGAGGCAGTAAGTACCATGCTTTTCTTCACATTCTTTCAGATGCTCATAAAAGCTGGTCTACCGTTCAGGAATTAGGGAACTTTCTTGCCTTGGGAGTGCATGCCATACTTCATCTGAGTACCAGATGTACCTAACATTCAGGAATTAGCGCACCATTAACAAACCCCCAAATGACCAACAGGCAACAAATTTAACCACGACACTCTTACACCATGAAGTCTGACAAAAAAAAAAAAATTTAAACAGCAGCTTGATGCAAAAGCTTAGCAGTAAGGGGGACTGAATCAATCAAAGTGAGAGGATGCGGGGGTGGGGGCGGTAGTCGTTTTAATAATCTGTGCATCCAGACAGGGTGTGACTCCTTATGGGTTAGACATGAGGAGTCCTGCCTGATGGCTAACAAGCTCAGTACTGGTTTTCAAAAGAAAGGTGTCAAGAGCAGTAACTCGGAAAGGCAGCCAGCAGGGGAGGAGGTAGATCCACAAGTATGAATTCCTTTTCCCTTCAAAGCAGCCCTCAACCATTCATTTTTACCTGATTTCACCTGGAAGAAAAAGAAAGTTCCCAGTGGGCTCAGGACATGAGGGACAGACAGTGTGATCAGGATTTGCTCGAGGGTATGAGGCTCTCCCACCCACCCCCAGGTCACGGCTCAAAGGAAAGCAGTGAAGTATCAGTGGTCCAACTTAGGTTCCTATGAAACACTGCAGCGCAGAATCCCCACACCACTTGTGATCTGCCTTTAGAATGTAGGCCCAAACTGATGGACAGGGCTAACTTACAAAAACTACCACTGTGCAGGGGCCAGGGAACGGTGGAAAGACAGGTCAGCTTTCGGCTCCCCTCTCCCCTATTGGAGAGGGCACCGCCGTCAGACTAACACAGAGAACAGCCTCTCTGTGGCTGCATCTATCTAAAATTCTGCCTCTCTGGCCTCAATTTCTAAAGAAAAGATGGAGGGATGTTGAGCAAACGTTCCCATTTTCCAGAGTTCTTTAGAAGAGAGAGGAAAATATCCCACAAGTGACGAGCAACCTCTGATCAGGTAAGAGCTGAGGGAAAAAAAAAAAAAATCACACCGTGTCCTTAAAACTTAGTTGCAAATGGTGTGCGGCTTCCCAGTATATTCAGACACCTTTCTCTCAAGAGCTGTTTGAGAGCTGGCACTTGTTCATGAGCTGAAAACTATTAGGAGGTGCTCTTTAGAACAGGAACACGGGCCTCTTACCAGCACGTCGTTGCAGATGTCCTGCAGCTCGGCCTCGATCTTCTCGCGGTACTCTTTGCCCATCTGCTGCTTCTTCTCGTTCCGCTCAGTTTTCTGTTCGATGCTGGAGATGACACGCCAGGACGAACGGCGGGCACCGACCACATTCTTGTAGGCAACTGACAGCAGGTTTCTCTCCTCGTTGGAGAGCTCGTGCCCCTGCTCCGTGACCGCCTTCATGGCCGCAGCCATGTCATCGTAGCGCTCGGCCTGCTCGGCAAGCTTGGCTTTCTGTACCAGCTCACTTTTATCCATGGTCATTCCCTAAAACGAGAGGGAGAGAGAAAGTGAACATCAGGCTTCGAGGCCCAGGAGGTGTATATGTGCCAATCTCCTTCCAACCCATCTGGGAGGAAACACAGCTAAATGGGAAACGTCTATTTCCAAATGCCTCCGGTAATACTGGGCAGGAGCACCCACAGGGTTAGGAACTTTGCTAAAAAGGTGTTTTTACTTTTTAGCCACTTGATCTTCCCAGCAGTCCTACAGGTAGATACGTTTACAACACTCCCTTCCCCCTCCATGAGGTGAAGAAGTGGAGGTTCAGAGAAGCCAACTGCTGTGTCCAGGGCAACACAGCCAGGAGAGCAGAGAGCCAGAACTCAAACGCACATCTGTCTCTCGAGCTGTTTTCTTCCACTTTCCTAATCTGCCTCCTCAATGCCAGAGGTGGCTTAATTCTTTAGAGCTTATGTTAAACATACAGGCTTTTCTTCTTTCAAGAGATATCTGGTTTTCACCAAATCTGTTTTTCCCCATACTACAGGAAAAAACACCATGCGATGACTGTTTCAATCAAGCTTAAAGCAAAAGACAGGACTTTCAGTGTTATATTTGGCAGTGCCCATCCAGTGGTAGGTACCTTAAACATACGAGCCATTTTTATCCCATCTTCTGCAAAGTGCTAACTTTGGCACAAGGACACAGTGTCCACGAGAGCAGACTTGGCTCAACCTTGCACCAGCGCAGCTACTTACAAGAAACATGACCTTGGTCAAATCACTCAGCTTCTGAGAGCTTCCGTTTGCTAACTGGAGAGGAAGAACACTGCGAACTCTCTGGGGGCCGCTGTGAGGCGCAAGTGACCTCATCTGCGTGGAGGCACTGCGGAGAGCCTAGGGCAGCGGTCCCCAAACTTTCTGGCACTGGGAACTGATTTCGTGGAAGACAGTTTTTCCACCAACTGGGGGTGGGGATGGGATGGTTTCAAGATGATTCAAGCACATTACGCTTATCGTGCACTTTATTTCTAACCTGAGGCCACTGCTGATCTGACAGGAGGTCCCAGTCTATGGCCTGGAAGTCAGGGACCCCTGGTCGAGAGCATTATACACAAATATGAGGCACTGACTCTACAAGGTACAGACTGTCTGGGTGGATTCACCAAGACGCACAGCAACAGAACTGAGAACCGTAATTGAGTTTGTTTAAGAGTTTTCCTGAAACAGACAAAAATCTTGGTGATTTCAGCTTTTCATTTTCTCAAACCCTCTATACACCAATCAGTGAATACCTCTTTAAATGATTCACCTCACCTCAGTCAATTCCCAACTATACTAATCACCATTATGGGAATTCCCTGGGGGCCCAGTGGTTAGGACTCTGCTCTCTCATTGCTAAGGGCGTGGATTTGATCCCTGCTTGGGGAACTAAGATCCCGCAAGCCTCAAGCCAAGGCCAAAAAAACAAACAAGGCAAAAACAGCCACCATTAATATAATGCAATAATTTTTGGATAACATGTAGCTAAAAAAATATTTAAAGAGATAAGTTTTATGTACTGTTGGTTTAAATTTCAATTTTATTCACCTATGCCACAGTGTTAAAATACACTAATATCCTGAGGTGGAAAAAAGTAAAATACTACTTATAGTATTTTATAACAGTAGTGGGAATACCAATATTTTTAAAACAAATGCTTTCATTACTTTATACATCATATTACAATTTAAGAGTCTCGTTTTGCCTTCACAGCCATTTCTGTATTTTCAAGAGAGAAATTCTACAGCCAAGACTCTACCACATGAAAACGTCTTGTTACATGAAGGACAATTTTAAGATACACCCTAAATCTAGACAATTTAGAAAGAGTTGGTGCTCCAGTTCAGAACTGTGTTTTCTTCCCACCTCTTTTTATCTAAATCATATTAAGAGTTGTGTCCTATGAAAGGCTTGCTGACTCTAATCTTACACTCTAAGGCTCACCTTGACCTGTCTGACATCTTCACCCACATCACTAGCATGAGCCTACAGCAGAGATAACAATCCATCTGCTCACCTACATCTCCCAGCAACCCCTCTGCACTCAGGAGGGGTCATACGGTTCAATCTGTTCAGTAAGGATAAATGATGCTACTTCCAGGTGCTGAAATTGCAAAAAGCCACATGAGGCTCTCTTGTCTTACAGCAGCCACATCACCTAGACGGTGCTGTCACAAAACTGCGGTTTGTACAGTCTGAGTCCCCGAGACTGGGTAGTGCAGTGGACGTGCAGGGTGAAAAGGAAATAAACCCTGTTGGCTGAAGCTATTTAGACACCGGGGCTGTTTGTTACGGCAACACAACTTAGTCTACTCTGATACATGTGCATCACAGGTACACTAGCCATCCTCTTAAAATTATATATGTTCTCCATACATCTTTCTTGATCATGACATCTTTCTGATCAGGATACCATCTTCACCATTAGACAACCCTACTGCAAGAGGCAGAGGGAAGCCAACTTTTAACAAATTTTTAGAAATTTTCCAGTCTGTAGATAATTCAGAATTAGAAGTTACTTAGTACATAAACAGCACCTGTGCAACTCTACCCAGGAGCAATTCTAATTAATAACAGTCCTGGCCAAAGCCAATTCAAAGTGAAGCCATCCCATGGAGTTATTACAAAAGAGTAATAGAAAATACAATTAGCACTGCTAAAGGATAATGTGAAACTCTTCAGCCTACTAGGCTAATCAATTAAGGTCCCCTCATCCCCCACTTCTTCTCTTCCCAAACATTAAAAGTTCAACCATACCTTTCCAAAGAATCCTGACTACTTACTCCCTGAGACCAAATGTACACGCCCTATTTCTCAAAATAAAATGTGGCCTTTCTGGTTTGGAGCTGACTATTTCAGGCTTCTTTGGGATCCCTGCAAGAGCTCTTAGAGATGGAGAACCATCATGATACAGTAAAACTGAATGCATGCCTTAAAAAATGTACCTATCTATTTAAAAATTTCTTACCTACAACCCCCCCCAACTTACAACAAACAAAATCCATAGCTAAATGTCTGATGCCTACTGCTTACATAACTTGTGCTTATATAACAAGGATTTTGAAGCAGCTAGACCAATTTCAACAGGAAATGGGTTACACAACACCCAGCAGTTTGGAGGAAGGCAGCAGACAAGGGAGAAATGAAATTGTTCCTATTTCTACATCCTAATAAACCTCCTATCCATCATCTTTCCCTAGTCCCACTGCTTTCAGTCTTTCATTTTCTTTAACCCCCTTCATATCCACTATCAGATCCATTTTAAAGCTCTGATCAAGTCACTCTCTGCTCAAAATTCTTTCAAGTTCCCAACTGCTGCCAGTAAAGTCAGACTTCCTCCCTTGTCAGTGTAGGCTTTCCAAGCTATCTTCCCAGACTTTTGCCCAAAGAGGCCTTCTACATAGTAGGTGCTTCTGTCAGAATGGTTTTCTTCCACATGCTTTTTGGTCTTTGCAAATCCAGTACTCCCTCTACCTGGAATAGCCTTTCCCATTTATTCTGCATTTAAAATTCTTCAGAGCATGGCTCAAATGACACCCCCTCCATGAAACCTTTCTTAAGCTGCTTAACCTAAGCTGTCTAATAAGACTGCCCAGGCCACATGTTAAAATTTTACTGTTTCAGATATATGGAGTTAATTTTTTAAAATTACTAAAATGAATTTCATCTTTTCCCCTCACATTTTAAAGGTAGCTACCAGATAATTTTAAACTACATGGGACTCATTCTATGTCTACTGGACAGCACTGCTCTAAGCTGAAGAGTTTCACAAAGCATTTCATCTACACGTCTCTTTAATGTCTTATCACGTTTCCTCAGTACTAAAATTATTTGTCTACATCCCTGAAGTCCCCTCCCACACTACAAAACCCTTTAGGGCACATCCCCCGCAGCACCTCGCAGAGAATCAGCATGAACAAATTTTCACTGAATGAATGAACAGATCCTAAAATGGCAAATCTGGTAGAGTTCTGTCTCTTCTCAAATAATTCAAATCACCTATTCTTTCTAAGCACATTAGATCCTCATTACATCCGTACCTCTCTCCATGTACTTTTTTTTTTTCCCTCCATGTACTTCTGATTCCAAAACTCCCCTCAGTCATGCCTGGATTCTTACTCAAGAACTTCTGATGACTCTCTTCTGGCTACTCCATCCAACTGAAATTCTTGTCTGGCTTGCAAAGTCCTTCATAATTTGGATCCTCTGTACCTGTTTCTCATCCACTATTCTCCAACATGTACCCTTCTCCCAGGCTGAGCATCACCAGATACCCTTAGATGTCGGGCTTAAACATGTCTGAAATTACTTCTGTAGTTCCCTATTTACTTCCTGCCGAGGCAAACGCTATCCATCCATGTAGGGCTAGAAAGCCTTCCCTGACTACCCTAGTCCCCCTGACCTACCTGGACTACAAATTCAAATACACTGAAGCCTCTTACACAGTCCACGCTTCTCTAGGCCTCCGTTCTATACGTTCTACGGTATAGGTGACGAGTGGTGGACCATGTACAGCGTGTCACATGTATGTCTTCCGAAGGAAGGCTTCACGTTTCTTTCTCATCTAATGCCTAAAACTCTGCCAAGTACAAAACTAATATTCAAGTAAGTATCTGTGCATTTTTTCAGCTAGTCATTACTGGGAGGCTACTTGTACGTGGTGTGAAGAGAGGCCTGTGTGTGAGAGCAGGGGCTTCCACGTGGCCTTGTCGGTGCAGTCGCTCAGTCGTGTCCAGCTCTGTGACCCCATGCACTGCAGCACAACAGGCTTCCCTGTCCATCACCAACTCCTGGAGCTTGCTCAAACTCATGTCCGTCGAATAGGTGATGCCATCCAGCCATCTCCTTTTCTGTCATCCCCTTCTCCTGCCTTCAATCTTTCCCAGCATTGGCATCTTTTCCAATAAGTCTGTTCTTCACATCAGGTGGCCAAAGTACCGGAGCTTCGGCATCAGTCTTTCCAATGAATATTCAGGACTGATTTCCTTTAGGACTGACTAGGTT